AACAGCAGAATTTACCAATAGTAGACACGATGAAATACTTTAATTTATATGGGAAAATGTAGCTTATAAATTTCTAATGCTGGCAGTTTTAAGAACAGCGCCTAGAAATGCTTTCTTTCTAGATTGCATTCGGCATTCAGTGTTTCGAGGCACTAATCAGCTAAGTCCCGTAATCCTCCTTACAGGGACAGTCTCACTTGACCTGGGGCTTTTTACAGTCCCTGGGAGCAGCATTAAAGCACATCCTTCCCTCACAGCCCCTCACGAGAGGACTTCAGGACTCCATCCTTGAATGAGCATTGATTTGTGTGTAACTTTTTAGTTATCGACTTTTGAGATAAAATCATCGGGAGCAAGTAGAGACTTTGTGAATCATCCGGTTAAGGATGCCTCCTATGATTTTGCGAGGGCTAGAAGGATTAAATGAAAGCACTTCCAGGCACAGTATTGCTGTATTTTGTCAACGTGCTGCTTCATGCTTGACAGATGTGCATTGGTTGAACTAAAGGTAAAAATAAAAATGTTAAATATTGTGATACTTTATGGTTTTTTGATAAACAAATTGTTTAATTTGCTAAAAGCCTTTTCTAGGAATTATTGGAATGGAAACTGAACATTTCAGGTTTTATAGGAATATGTACTTCTGCTAAATCCTCAACTGTTTTAACAGCTTTGAATGTAAAATTTGATTTCAGTGTATGCTTAAACTATATGGTAAGCATTGTGCAGTTGTATTTGTGAAGTATTATTTTCATTTATTTGGCAATATCCATGGTTTATAATATGATTTAAAAGATGGAGTTATATTTCAGATTATTGATTCTTCAAATATATCCTTTTAATCCTAAAATGACTATTTATTGATCTGTATTAATAAAGATTGTAATATTTGTATACGATAGTACTTACTTATAATAATATAAATTTGAACTTAGAGAAACTAACAATCTTCAAGTTCTTTACTTTGAACATTACTATTATTAAAAGTAGGATAATTTCAGTTAAGATTTGATATATGAGTATTAATCTTAACATGTCATGTAATTTTCACTGCTTTATAAATATTTTCAAATGTTTACTGAATTGTACTTTCAGAGACTTGACTATAGTAAATATGAACAGTATGATAGCAGAGTTAAAACAAGCAATGTAAATGGTTAAGGGTTATAAATATTAAAAGAAAATAGGGGTAAAATAGGATGAATTAATGTGTAAAATGAGACAACTTTGGGAAATTAGGAAAGTGACTTTAATTGGGAAAGAAACTTCTTGTTTTATAATTTTTGGACATGAAGTTTTAAAGAGTCTAATTGGTAGGGTTTATAATGCTAATTTTTTTTTTTTTTTAGGAAGGAATCCAGTTTATTTTCTTTTATGTAGCAAGGCAGTTTTTCTAACAGTATTTACTAAACCATGTGTTTTCCCCCATTGATTTTTGACACCACATTTATTGCAGAATAGATTCCTGTATACTTGTGAATCTATCTCTGAGTTTCTTGACCCAAACTCAGATTATTATTTTTTTTATGCATAGAATAACATTTATAATTGAGCACTGAGTGTGCTACAATAGCTAGCATATTTAGAAATAGACTGAGTGGTAGCCTACAAGATAAAAAACGATGAGCAGTGAATAGAAATGCTGCTCATCAAAGTAGATTTTGGATGCTTAAAATGTGACTTTCTATTAACTGGTTCTACTGAAGACCATATAATAGAATGCAAGAGAAAATAATTTTAACACCTAAGGTTTCAATAAGGAGAAAGTGAGTAGATATTAGGTAAATAGAAAGTGAATATGAATATATGGCTGATATGGTCAGGTCAGAAAATAGGGATTGGTAGCATGAAAGCAGTAAAGGCTAGGACACTGTTAGTGTCACAGATACGTTTTATTTTCATAGTAAGTCACGATTTTGAGTTCTGTCTTTTACTGTCTTAGAATATTTGAAGAAGTAAGTGATACATAACATCCTAGATGAATTGCTCCATTTCTTTGAGTTCTATCTTATGGGTTAAATACTGGTAAATCCTTTAAGATTCTTTATAGAAGTGTGCAAGTTGTCATTATTTTCTTTTAGTTAAATGTTTCCCACCTGATAATAAAGGTCAGGAGCAAAGATGAGTAGAGATGCAATATATGAATTCTTGTGTATTTTCTTCAGTGCTTTAAAAGGAGTCTAAGAAAAATAGAAGTTTTAAAATTTAAAGGGGAGTACATATGACATAATTCATGATATAGCTGGTAGAAATAATTTTGGCAGTATATTTTATATTTTAGTGTAGTTGACAGCAGATTATTCACTGTTTGCTAATCTTACCCTAACGTCTTAACTTGCTTCTTACAAAGCTTTAATATACCACATCGTATTATATTTTAAAAGGTATTTTAAAAAACCTATGTCCATGTTAAATTAACATAAACAATAGTCATCCTAATTTCAGATTTTAGTTCTTTTTTTAACCCCAGTACTGGGAATCGAACTCAGGATCTTGTGCTTCCGAGGCAGGTATTGTGCTACTGAGCTAAATCCCCAGCCCCAATTTCAGATTTTATTCCATTTTTACTTAAATCCAATACAATTCAGCATGTACAGTATGATCCATGTGCTTCAGGCAAATTTTATGATCTCTACAATGAAATGAATGCTAGATGTACTATCTAATTCAATTTTCCTGAGGTATCATTTTTAAAAAGCACTTAGAATGCCTTCCTGGAACTAATTATTAATAGCCATTCTTTTGGAACTGAATTCTGTAGTAGGAGGTAAATAGTCTTATTTATCAATAAAACAGATTTACTATATTATCATTACATCAATGATACAATATTCACTTTGTGCTTGCTTTCAGAAAATTCGTGTTGTTTCCTCAGGGTAGGAATAAAATTGTTTTTTTCCCCTTAATATTCTGTAACACCAAGTATGATGGTAAATATATTACTGGCAATCTTTAACACATCAAGCTTTCATTTAGATAAATGAACTTGATGAAGTTTTCATGTAAGATTACAGTCCCTAAGATAGAGATGAGGGTTTTAGACTCATTTACTTCTTAAGATCGAAGATCATCTTATTTCTGTGTTTGTAGTCTATATTATAGCATGTGGCATTTAGTTCTTACCTAATATATTTGTTGAAATAGCACATGGTTTAAGCTGTGAATGTATGCCTGTTAATGTGCTTTAAAAAGCACAAAATCCTTAAGATTAAACTGTTCAAAAAGCAGGTTAATGGCAATATCAGAACTAAGAAATGCAAATCCCTTTGCTCTAGTTTTCTTTGCATGGCACACCACTTGTATGATAGAGGTTTTTTTCTTTTTGAGTCATTTGATGTTGAAATAATGAGCAAAGTAAAATGAATGGTGAATAACATGCATGCATTCACATGGTGTTGTGTAGGTTAAATACTGTAAGCTTCATTTTGAGTTTCCTGTTTGGGGTGTAAATTTCAAACTGTGAAAGTCTAGTTTTACATAGCAATTGTAACATAAAAGGTTTGTAATTAAGTTCTAAATGTTTTATATATAAATAGAAAAACAAGTAATCAAGTGATAGACTAGTCCCTTCATTTACATTTTTTTCTTTATAGTCCCAGGTTAGATTCTACCCTGGCTTTGTATTTATGTGTAATTTTAATGGTGAACTTTATCCAGAAGCTGTTACTGTCAGCAGTAGCTTTTGGCAGGCAGATGTGGGTCTCAGAGCCTCCTGGGGAAGCTCTGTTACTTGGCCACCTGATGTAGTGGGCAGCTGAAATCACTGGGGCAGTGACTCTGAGATTCACAGCAACTTCCTTCTGTCCCTTTGGGGCCCTTTGTCTTGAGACCCTTGCCATTAACTTCCTGGGTCTTCTCCCCAGCCCATTTGGCTGCTTCCTGTGCCCTTTGTACTGGAAAAACCTAAGAGGATTTCTGTTTTCATTAGTGAGCCCTTGTGGACAGACACTCTGGCAACTTGAATTCCAGATATGGGGCAAAAGGAATCAGTCACAAGGGAAACTTCAGGGGAGAGTGGTGATTTTGCTGGAATGGGCCTTTCCACTCTGTCCTTCCTGTACTTTTGTATTTGGACAAAGCCAACAACACACATCCAACTAACCAACCAAACAAAACCCCAAGAAATTCATAGCTAAGCTATGCACTCTTGGTCATCTTTAACTTCAACTGGCCTCAGCCTTTCTTTATAGTTTCACTAGGTCATATTTGTGTTAGGGAGACAGATAAATTGTTTTCTCTTTTCTGATAATATATGGAAATAAGAAGAAAGGTTGGGTGTGAAGATCAGTAGAGAGGTGTCACCAAGCAGACCTTAATCTTAACTTAGATGAATAAAAATAGAAATCCTTTCTCACTTCTAGGGATTTTGTGATGAACGAATAATTATTGATACTTCCTTAACTTGTCTCAATTAGATCAATAAAAAAGGGTTGAAGATATAATGAATAAAATGATAAAAGATGCAGATTTAGATGACCGATACTAGGTATGACCTAGGTAGATGAATGTAAAGTGACTTTTAAAGGCTAGCCCTTAGTTTTCAAGAGAAAGGATTCAACTACTTTGGCAAGTCCTTTGAGTTCACTGCATTTTCAGGTCATCCATATTAAGGGTTAGGAGCTGAGAGAACAGATGGAGGTATTTTTCTAGGCTACTAGATAATAATTCAGGTACAGCCAAAGTGTAGCCAGCCAAGCAAAGAAATGAAGATGACCATTTTAAAGCAGCAGAATATAATGTTCATTAATTAATTGTTGAGCACAAGTATTCTTTATATATAGTGGTTCCGGCATTTAAAAAGCACAACATAATACCTTTTCTATGACCTGCTTGAACTGACTAAAATTAATATTATTAAAGCTCCTGTTGTGATATGTCATTAAAATAAAAAAAGCAAAAAGAAATATTTGAATTTGCCCATCAACCTGGCAGTGAGTCAGCAAAATGTAAAATTGCTTAAATGTTGTTCTTCTCATTGTCCTTCTTCTTTGGTCACTTAGGAAAAGAAGTCCGTCAGTGTCCAGAGATCAGAAGAGAAGATACGACCAAAGGGAAGAAAGTGAGGAATACCCCCAGTATGCTCCGCCTGATAGCGCAATGCCTCGATCTCCATCAGATTATGCTGAGCGGCGACCTCAGCGCGAGCCTCAGTTTTATGAAGAATCTGATCATTTAAGTTACAGGGGCTCCAACAGGAGAAGTCACAGGCATTCCAAAGAATATATCGTAGAAGATGAGGACGTGGAAAGCAGAGATGAACACGACAGACAGAGGAGGGAGGAGGAGTACCAGGCGCGCTACCGAAGCGATCCGAATTTGGCCCGTTATCCAGTGAAGCCTCAACCCTACGAAGAACAAATGCGCATCCACGCCGAGGTGTCCCGCGCGAGGCACGAGAGAAGGCACAGTGACGTCTCTTTGGCTAATGCTGAGCTAGAAGACTCCAGGGTTTCTCTGCTAAGAATGGACCGACCGTCGAGGCAAAGGTCTGTGTCTGAACGCAGAGCTGCCATGGAAAATCAGAAATCGTATTCAATGGAAAGAACTCGAGAGGCCCAGGGACAAAGTTCTTATCCACCAAGGACCACAAACCGTAGCCCTCCTACCCCGCGGAGGAGCCCAGTACCAATCGATAGACCAGACCTGAGGCGAACTGACTCCTTAAGGAAACAGCACCACTTGGACCCCAGCTCTGCTGTAAGGAAAACGAAAAGGGAAAAAATGGAAACGATGTTGAGGAACGATTCCCTCAGTTCAGACCAGTCAGAGTCAGTGAGACCACCGCCACCAAAGCCTCATAAATCAAAGAAAGGAGGCAAAATACGACAAGTCTCATTGAGCAGTTCAGAGGAAGAATTGGCTTCCACACCTGAGTACACGAGTTGTGATGATGTGGAGATCGAAAGTGAGAGTGTAAGTGAAAAAGGTAAGCTTTTCATTTAGATCGTGTTTCAGTGTTTAACATCCTGTAGCCAGATATTCCTCCCGTACTTGCAAGTCTTTTAACCACATTGGTTGTGTGAAACCTCAGATTAGAAGAAATTGAGTATCTTCTGTTGTTCATATATTAGAAAAGTCTATTTTAAAAAATCTTTCTTGATTTGTTTCTGAAATTTTTTCTTGTATCACTTGATGATATTTTAAGAATATTAGCTCTCATAAAAATAGCATTTATTTTTGGGATCTCCTTATAAAAGTACAATCTATGAAAAGTACTGTAAAATATATGAAACCATTTTCAAATTATAAAGAATGAAATACAAGTTATGCACATTTCCTTCACCATCTATAACCATTGTTAACTTTGTATTATACTTTCTTCCTTTTCTTCTATGCATGTATAGCTTATGGATTTATAAAATTGATGTTGTACTTTTAAAAAATAATTTTGTATCTTGAGTTTTTTCAGTTGATTTTTTTCAACTTGGTAGGTGTCCTCTAGAAATGTTTCGATAGCTGCACTAATGTTCTCTCGTAAAAATGTAGCACAACTAAACATTTGAAGAATTGCAGTTGCTTACAGAGCTTTTTCTGTAACTCTTACCAACATGTCCGAGTATGTCAAAGGTACACATTTGTGCTTTGTTCTTTTCTAAAGCGTCAATTGAAATTTCCAAATTGCTTTTCACAAAGGTTGTAGCATTCACTGCTTCTGTCAGATGTGCTTGAGCTTTCGGTCTCAATGCACCACAGCCTTGGCAGTTGAATAGGGGACACACACACACATACGTTACTTCTTCATCATCATACTTTGAATTTGCTTGTGAGGCTGATTTTTAAAATTTTATAGTATGCTTATTGGTGTTTCAATCACCGATTTATTCCAATATTCTTTCCTGCCAACCTTTCTATTAGGTTTTAATTAATTTTTCTTTTATTGACTTATAAGAGACTTTTGGTATGTTAAAGTTTTACCTGTCACTGTTGCAATTTGTTTCCCATTTTGATGTTTGCTAATTTTGATTATTTAGAAATATTGCACTCAAATCATATCGTTGATGATTTTCATTATTCATTATTAGAAACTCTTTGTTCATGCCCAGATGAGTTAAACATTTAGCTGTGTACTTTGTCCATTTTATGTTCATTTCGGAATTTCTTTCGGTGTCTGACAGAATACACTGGAGTGATGTGCATCTGGCCAGATCCCTCGCACAGACCTTTTCCTTGCCTTCTTCTCAGTTTTCGTACCATTTGGAGAACAGTCATTTTTTTCTTTAAGAATAAAGAGGAGTCACAAAGGCAATTCAGGAGGGCAGCTAGATTGAAATTAATGCAGTCATTTTATACTATATCAAATGTAATTAGTTAGAAAATATAAATTAAAAATAGTTGCTATCCTGATCTACAAACAGAAAATGTGATTTAAAAATAATTAAAAAGGAATGAGGAGACCTGCAGGAAGGACCCTAAAGATTAACAAGTAGCATAAAAGAAAGTATGAACTCATTTCATGTTCCTAATTAGGAAGACTTGATACTATAAAGATGCATACCAGATAATCTCTTCAAATTAATAACATTCCAGTCATAATCCCAGTCACACCCTTGGTATAGCTTGTCTTCTAAGTTATTGTGAGGAGAAAAAAAATGCTGGTAAGAACAGCTAAGAACAGTGATGAAGAATTTACCTGACAGATATTGATATAGTGACAATAATTCAAAGTATAGGATTGATAAAAAATTCGACAGGTGGATCAGTATATTATTAATAAATAAATAACAAACATTAAAAGTATCACAATTCAAGGGAAAGGAGATAGATTATTCAACAACTGGACTGAAGAAAATGTATATGTAGTTGGAATAAATTAAGTTGTAGATGTATTTTATATTGTCAACTCATACCCCATCTGAAAATTGTATTCACCAAAAAGTAACTATCCAGGAGAACTGTAGATATGGTATTAATCAAGTTTAGCACAGAGTCTATCGAAAATTTATTTTCCCTATGCTGTGATACTTCCTTACGCATATTTAATAATCTTTAGTTTGGTCATTTTCCACATTTACCAGATTGTATCATAATTCTATAGTCAGAAAAGGGTAGTCTCTTATTTTTGATAGCTTAAATTATATTCCATATGATAGGTAGTTATACTAACCTTTGCTAAAGTAATATCTTTATTTTACTACATGAAAAATGAGAAAACAGGGCTGGGGATTTAGCTCAGTGGTATAGCACCTGCCTGCAAGCAGGAGGTCCTAAGTTCAATGCCTGGTACCAAAAAAAAAAAAAAAAAAAAAAAAAAAAAAAAAAAAAAAGTGAAAAACAAAACAAATGCATCAATACAATATTTGAAAGTTTTTCTGAAGCCTTGTATTTTGTTTAAGAATTTGCAATATCTATTTATAAACTATCACACATAAAAGAGCTATGTATGAATTAAATTAAAATCCTACATGATACTACTTAGCAAAACTAAAACATTTATTAAATATAGAAAGAATCTTATGTGTCACTCGCGTTTGAATTCTCTCCTCCCTTAAACTCTTAGTAGATGCTTTTGGAGATAGTCCTCTTTGTCATTTTCTAATAATCTGTTTCACACAGCACAGTTTCTGCTAACATTATTTCCTAAGGACAATCATACTTTCAGATTTGGAGCAAGAAATTCTAATAAAGTAATTTTTACCTGTTTAATATTTCTTCAATAGTAGAATTTAGTGAGGAGAAGTTGAACCTGTTGAGAGACTGGAATTATGGGAAAGAGAAAGAGCTGTCATATCTTTGTCTTTATTGCAGTGGCATTTTTAATTATGTGTTGAAAAAGTATTGATCTGATTTCAGAATATGTTACTTTAAAAATATCTAACATTGTGATTCATAATCATCTTGGTATTTAATGTTTGACATATCTTTCTGATAATTAAAGATGTTTCATTAATGGCTTTTAAACACTTTTTTCCTTGCATGTTTATATGTGGTGACATCGTTCTTGCGAGGACCAGCCAACTTTGGAAGATCATCATCCCTTTGTTTTATTATTCCTAGGCTGCATAACTCCAAAGCATGTGTTTTACTGCACAGATATCTTTCTCATTATCTTGACTTTTCTGTTCCTTTTTATTTTAATGCACTAACTTTCAAAACTGTGCAAGGCAAATTTAAATCAAGTAATTTAAATTTAAAACGTTAATCAGAACTGTTATGGGCAGTGACAGGCAGCATTATCATTGCACAAGAATTCCTTCAAGACCCTAGAAGGTCATAGCTTCTGCCACATGGCAAGATCTTTCCTGTTCTTTGAATAATAAAATTCTATTGGCAATCCATGGCAAGCATATAATTCATTCAACTTAAAATTCTGTTTTTCCTCTGTAGTCTTTTGGCTATTCTGTTTGTTCTTAGCTTCACTGGTTTATTGATGACATTGACTCTTATTCTTGTGTCACTTTGGATGGATTTCATTTATTCTTAATATGAAAGGATTTCACTCGAATTTGAAATCAGTGTTACTACACCCTCTATATTTTGATAAATGATGCTGATAATTGCAGTTTATGACGGCCATTATTTTTGTAGGAGTGACAGGAAGGTTTAATAGGAAAAGGGAGTATTGGTTTTGGAGTCTAATATCAAATCTTGAGGGTGTTATTTACTAATAACATGATCTTGTCCTACCTTTTAAACCACTCTAGGTGTATTTCCTTACCTATAAATCTGTAAATCAGAATAACAGCATTTTTATTGTTTGGTAATTGTAGGAATTGAATATTATTTGTCAAGTAGCAGGTATTCAGATCATTTTTAGATTCCTTATTTAATGTTCTGTATAGTTGAGATTTCTTCAGGACAACTCTCAAGTGTTTTGAATGAAAATATAATTGTGGCGACGTGGACTGTGGTCGTTTGCGTTGATTTCATCTTTTCCAAGATCTGCCCCACGTTGAACCTCCCGTTTCTAGGCGGAGAAGGATATTCTTGTTGAGATGTACTTTGAGATGTAATTCCATGTCTTATTAAATATTAAACTCCTGTTTACTCATGGTTCTGCCAGGTGTTTCTTCAGTGAATATTATTTGCAAAGTGTGGGATTGGATCCAGTGCAGAATGCAGAAATGAAGAAGACATTCTTTCTACCCTCAAAAAATTGAAAGTCTAAAATTCATAACCAGCAGTTCAAGGCAGTTTTACTGTGCAGTGGAAGAGAAGAGAGAGGAATCATTCATCTCTACTGATTTTGTGCACACTGTTAAAACTTGTATCGCTTATTTTCTAATTCAGTGTGATGCACTTGCTTTTCATCATGCTAATTGATTGCTTCAACATACTTTGTGTTGGCGCTGTGAGAGAGCTATGCCAGTAGCAGACGGGACATGTTTGTATCTTTCTACAATATCAGAATTTATTGCATAACAATAAATTCATGAGCTACATCAATTTTGTCAGCCTTATCAGGCTGAGTATTCAAGGTTCACTCAGTAGTCAGATGGGCCAGGCAGTCACAGGTTCTTTTATTATCATTGTAATTAGTAATATTTATAAATCCCTAAAATCATACATCACACAATAATATGTAGGTTACAGAATGGCTAAGAACAGTGGCTGCATGATTCTAAGGGGAGCCCCCAAAGATGGGCAGATTCCGCAGAGATGTGGAAGTCCCCACGGGTGGTCAGGCAGGGATGCTGGGAGGAGGCCAGGGCTTGCTGAGACCGCACAGCTGGCTCAGAGTGGGTGCTTCTGTCTGGCCACATCCAGCAGAGAAACGGAGCAGAGCCAAAGCCGGAGGACATGGCCTCGGGCCGAGTGCTGCTCTCACCAGCTGGTCTGACAGCTGTGGCACTGCTGCTCCCCAGGGCTGGGCACCCCTCCTTTTCTATGAGTCCAGTGAGGGGTTTGGTTGCATCATTTGTTGGTTAGCAGATCTGATAAGCACCTAGATAAGCACATAAGTTACATGTTACAGCTATCCATGTGTCA